ATCACTTATACCTTTAGTTTAATGAAATCAAAATCAGCAAAAAAGACCAGTTTAATTCTAATAACTACAGCATTTGGACCTCATGGACTCAACAAGGTATTATAACTGCCGTCCTGACTGAATCTGAGAGATTTGCAAAGTGTCACAACATAAAGATTTGCTGATAAAACAAAATAATAAAAAAAAAAACGCCTCATCAAACCATTTGTCACTTGCAGTTACATTCTCCGACCATCAGAGGACGCTGGTTACACAGAGTTCTGCTTCAACTGAAAGCTGCACATCTGAGTTTTTTTTTTCTTTTTGGAACAAGAACTTGGAATAAAATCAGGACAACAGGATTTGCAAAAAAATGTGTTGACAATGACAGAAAAAAAGTCACAACAAACAAAACAGATCAAACGAGACGTGGATGCATAGCTCAGAGCAGTTTCTCGTAGCGCACCAATATTTTATTCTAATGTGTTGAATTATCACCCAGCATTCAGTGTGATTTAAATGTCTTATYCGTAAGGAGCTTCAACTCAAATACCTGGGTTTTTTTCAGAGTGTTTCCCTGGATGTTGGAGGTTTTTTTACAGTACRTTGCAGCTTTGGATTCTCAAACATTTAGAATAAATCAGTGCTGTGTGAAAGGAATAAAGYTAATGTATTCTAAAAGTCTGTCAAAACGATGAGTTAAAATTTCCTCAACTCTACTGATAAAAGGTGGTTTTAATTAAAGGGGACATATCCTGCCATATTTTTCACAATTAAATCATTCAGTCTATAGAAAGTGGAACTGCAAAGCTGTGATAGGAATTCCTCCTTATTGTAACTCCACAAGCCCCTCTTTCTGGTTTGAAAAATGTGACTCAAACAGACAATAAAGATATCTCTGCAGCACGGAGAGAAACTAAATTAAACTTTTCTGCACTCCTAGGGACTAATGCATAACAAAATGTATTTAGGGGCTTTTGCATGAAATGTCCCCTTTAATAATCTGAGTTCTTTTTGATTTTTATTTTGCAACTTTTCATTCTGATGATGTCCACGTTGCTTTTTTGTTATTGAGTTTTAGCGTTTKTCACCCTCTGCTTTTATTTTGTCTTACTGTTACTCATGGACACACACACTTACACACACAATGACCTTATAAACACACTGTAAGCACACGCCTAGGCTGCGTTGTGTGGAACAGAAAGTTAACATATATTCTGCAGTTAAGGAGCCGTGTTCAGGATGAGGAGAAAGATATTAAAACTCTCACCATGAACACTTCCTGCTTTTGTTTTCCTTGTCCCCATCTTAGCTTCACGAAGCCCAACGTTCCATAACGGAGCACTTTTTGACAAATATCTTTTTTGACATTCTGCTTTTTCTTCCATTTTCCTTTTTCTTTTTTCTCGCACAATACTTTTCTGTTTCCATCTTGCTTTTCAACATTCTTTGCTGCTTTTCTCTTATTTCCAGTTATTTATCGCAACGTTTTCTGTTCCTACTTGCAGTCTGACCATCTGGACGACTTACTGAAACATTCCTCACTTTTACGTGAACTGCTTGTTTTTAATAAAGCTAAAATCCTGGGGAGGAGTTTAACCTGATAGAACAAACACAATTTCTGTAAATTTACTGACTCTATTCTCATGAGTTTCAACGATCAAAGAGTTACTCAAAAAATTAAATTAAATTAAATTAAATAAAAAAATAGTTTTGCAAATAATTAATGCTGGGTTAGTCTCAGGGAATATCATTGTTTTGTTAATATTTTGCCATTTGTAACCCTGTAATTGCCCGTGTCAGTGCATGTTTATTAATTTGTCTGTTAGCAAAATATCTCATGAACCCCTGGATGGATTTTATTGCAACTCCCAGAAAATAATCATTGGATGTACATCTACAAGTGTTTAACTTTCAATGCCAACTTGATTCAAGCTGACCACTACAGCCAACTGACCTTAGAAAACACAAAAATGWCAGCAGCTCAGTTTATTTTACAGATTCTAAGCTAAGATTTGGGGTGGTAGTAGGTGAGAGTCATTCCCATCACATATCTTGAGAATCGAGTGATATTATTCCTTTTAAAGAATTCTACTTTCATTTTGAAGTGTTTATATTAGTAACAGCCAATTGGTATACAACAATAGGAAACGTGGGCAATAATATTCTCTTCATGCCACTCAGTGACTATTTTGCATCACCCTACAGCTTTACTTTCATATCATGAGCTTGTGTGTAACTTCAGAGGTACACAATCCTGTGCGTCACCTGCGGCAGAAACACTTTGATATCGTACATTTGTCAGTAATACACAGACTGAGCTCATCCAAATCCTCAGGGACGCACAGCATTGGTGTTTTTTAAAATATCAGAWTATAAATGGAATGACATTCCTTGCAAAAAATAAAAAATAAAAAAAAACAGAAAATGGAGGGCAAAAAAAGAGCAACTCATTTCCTCCAAAGACCCCCTGTCATAAGGAGCGTGCAGAGCCGTGGTTGCCTCTTTGTCTCACAGTCATTATCATATCAACATGCTGCATGCAACGCTGCCAAAGCTCCTCCGCCTGTTTCCCTGCATAAACTCCTTATCAACATTCCCCGAGAATACACCTGCTAATCCTCCTCACTTTCCAAACGCGCCGCCTCCGTGCGATGACCTGTTTTACACTTTCAGACTTGCTTTTTGCCCTCAACGTTCAAAGAGCCTCCATTTCACATCCTGGAACTGCCCTTCAGTCACTTTACATTGTAGTTTGCATTAAGACCTGCTTTTGTCCTCCATGTTTCCCATCTTCTCTTTTATCCTGTCTTACTAAGCAGAGCCAATTCAAGCTCCACATCCAATGAACCTGAGAAAATAACAAAAACAGTTATAATTCAGACGATTTTTACTTATATTGTGCTGAGATTTGGTGTGCTGTAGYTAAGAGTCATCCCCAATGCAAACACCTCAAATGCTACTCATAGCTTACACTTTAGCATCAACTATAAAAAGTCGATATTGTTCGTCTGTTAGCAAAATATCTTTTGAATCACTGACTTTATTTTAATGAAACTTTCTGTAAGTAATCACTAGACATTTATTAACAACTGATTAACATTTGGAGTCAAACCAATTCAAGATAGTTGCCACAACTAATTGAGAATAGCCAACAGAAAAATGGTTATAACTCAGCCAGTTTTGGAGAAATTCAGCTAAAATTTGACGCGATAGTAGCTGAGAGTCATTCCCAACATATAAACTGTTAGCTTATAATATTGCATGAGTCTGTTTATTATTCTTTCAAGGTTTAAATGGGTACACTTCAAAAAAAGTCAACCTAACCAAGTTTTAAAATCTTATATCCAGCCAAGACGTTTTTTTGGTCCTGTTTTGAGACTGATTTACTAAACAAGAACTGATTGTGTAAGAATAATCATATTGTTTTCAGAATGTGTAAGATTATTTGTCTTGTTAGCATGAAAATTTGACTCCAATTATGTCAAAAATTTCTGCTAATGGAGTAAGAAAATCTTACTCGGTAAGATTCTAGAAATACTTGATTTGACTCGGTGTTTTCTTATTTCAAGAATCTTACCAAGTAAAACTGTCTTACTCCATTG